ATTGGTGACTGACTAAATACTTATTTTCCCCACTGTAACTGTGAACAGAAATCTTTCCAAACATCCAGATGGGTGACCTATTTGTAATAAATACCTTAAAAATGGACATAAATTGAACAAATTCTCAATTTCTAAAAATAAAATAAAATAAAATAAAAATGCAGAATGGACAAAGTTTCAGTGAACAGCATTTTCCAGTTGCTATGGYTAATTTTTTTTTACCCCAGGAACAGTTATTATAAAGTCCTTTAATGAAACAAGATTTACAATCTAGTATAAAATTATACAATTTATGAATATATTTTTTATTTATTATGCATAACCGTTAATGGATGAAACACAAACACTTTCAGTAGTACAAACGACACCAAATACACTTCTTAAAAGCATTTTAAAATATGATTTTACACTGAAACCTGAAATCTGCTAAAACGCTGTGCGAGTATTGTACCAACTTAGCTTTACACACAACATTCAACCAAATTATGACCGTGCAGACATGAAGCAGTTTAGAGTGTGACACATTAGTGCTGATAGTTTAAAACGTGCTCTGTAAAACTGTGTTTAATGTCTTAAAAAGTGCCTTTTACTTTAAAATAGAACCAGTAAAACATTTAGCTTTGAGTCATTTAATCTTAAAACAAGCAGCAAACTCTAAATAGACTGTGCATTCTGCCCACAGAGAGGGAACATGTTGCAGGTACACAACCTCCTGGACTGTAGGATCAGAGTGTCACACACATCACCTCAGCAAAGTGATCTATTGGTGTAAACTGCAACCATAATCAGGTGATATTTTAGATTAGGAAACRCCTTATATATGTGATAGTGATGCCTAAATCTTGTATAAATTACAAAGAGCAGAACTGTTTACTGCTGCGAACAGAAGAAAGTCTCAACTTGGTGTCGTGATTGTTTACCAGCAACTYGTGCACACAGCTGGGATCAGGACAACACACCTATCAGTTCTTCCTCGTCGTTGTCTCCAACAGCTCCTGTGGGACTGTCGCAGGTGGCCATGAGCCCCAGACCCAGCTCTGCTAGTTCCTCACAGGTCAAGTCAGTCGTCACCATGATCTTTGTCTCTAGTCGGTTACACAGAGTCCTATAGGAGGGCAAAGGGTAACCGATCTCTCTCAGGTACTCGTAGCCTTTGGTCCCAACAGCGCAGCGGATCTTCCGGGCTTTCAGGATCGTTTCAGGCGACCAGACAGCTCGACGGGAGCGCTTGGTGAGGGACAGAGCCCTGATCTGGTCTTCAAACAGAAAGTTCTGGAGGCCCTTCTCGATCCGATCGAGTCGATACAGGCGCTTCTTCATCTCTTCTCCCTGAGAGAAACGGAGTTCACTTAGGTTATTGGTGTCACTTTGTGCCATATCTCAATCGCTATATATCAAAAATCACAATTAACTGAGCCATTAATGGAGTGGGAACCCCCCAGCAAGCCTTTTACCTCTCTTTGCAACCTCGCAGTATGCTGCATCTCCTGCTCCAGTTTTTTCTTGAGRAACTGACATTGTGTGCAGCGGTGCTGGTCCTCAGCGGTCCCTTCTGCATCCTCCTCCTCCATCCCAGGCAAAGGGGTGCGTCTGGCATAGCCATGATCCCCAAAGTTTAGCTCCTTTTCCACTAAAAAACGCACAAAAAACCTCTAACTAGAATTGTAGCCATAAATGTACTTGACCTGATTAAGATGTTTTGCAGAGTCTTAGTAAAAGATGCTAGGACCCATAGTTTTGGTTATTAGTTAAAGATTTCAGGACATTTTTAAGTAGATGCATTGAAAATCAGTTGTGCAAAAATGGATATGAAAAAATTTTTTTTTCTTGTGCTTTTCCTAAAACAAGCAACAGGAATGTTGCAATACAAACAACACAAATACACAAATATTGGATAATATGTGGCTGGATCTTGAGCAACCCTCCACACAAATATCTGTTTTTGTTGCTGTTTTTATGAATAAATGCTAAACATTACTCATGCACAATTTGATACTAAAGGTTTAATGTTATAAAATGTAATAACAACTTTCTCACCCATTACTTTTAAATGAGACTTAATTATTGATCCAAACAGCAAGACTTTCACATAATTGCATTACAATGAATAACATTACATTTAAATTATAGGTAAACTGTATTTGTGCTTGGTAAAGTCTGATATAAATATGTTATGATTACATTTATAGCATTCGGTTATGCTTTAATAAATACCTGGTTCAGGTTTCAGTGGCAGCAGGATGTATGGAGAAGTGACTGCGGGGTAAGGAGGGTCTCCCACACAGAACAGAGTGGGAATAGCATTGGGCTTCAGCTTCTTCCCACCAGCTGGAGATCTGGCTATTTCCTCAAACTGGCTCTGCTCAAAATGATCCTTTAGATGAGACAGAAGCAGAAATATACACGGGCATCAATTACCAGGAGTGCAAATAATACTAATAATAGGGCTTCTCTTGGACACACCGGCTCCATGTCTCACATATTTAGGCAGAATCTTGTTTTCAACACTGCTGAGATGACTCTCACCCCAAACTGAGGAAGTGTTYCCACTAATCTGATGCTGTAAACTTACTTGACACAGTCTAGAGTGAGGAGTTGGTTCAAAATCACGCCGACAGTTCACCACCCATTTCTTCTTCCGCACCGGGTCTTTGGGAAACCTGAACAGCTGTTTGCCCATGCTGCTTGAATTGGAGCAGTTTGGAGCGTAGCAGCCACCCATCGCACACAGTAAAAAAACAACTAAGACAACCAAACAGCAAGACAGAAATGTTATTAAAACGGTGAGTTGGCTCAGTTTGAACTTTTAAATATTTTAGTTTTAGCAGCTGCACACACACAAAAAAAAAAAAACAAAAAAACAAAGCTACGTTCACAATAAATAATTAACTCGTGGGAACTAGAAACAGACCCAACATGTGTTTCACGTAAAACTCGATATAAACACTTTATAAACACTTATAAGGGGTAAAATATTACTGAGTTTGTTTGAGCCAAAATGGCGCACACCTTCTGCGTTTAGGTCCGGTGACGCATTTAGGTGTGCCTGTGTAAATGCCTGATGGAAAAAACAAATGATATTAAAATACAATAAATTAATTTAAAAGTTTATTTTAAACCAAAAACTACATTATTTAAAAAATATAATGTTTTAAAATATTCCAGAAGGAGACTTCTAAATATTCAGTCTTGCCATGTGTTATTTTCCGTCAGGACCCCGGGAAGCACACCGACTGTTTACGGCTAAGTTTATAGCTGTAGACTATAATAATCCAGTAGGAAACTTGAACACAATTATGAAAGTCACTGATCTCGGAACAAGAAAATAATAGATAATCAGCAAACAAGGTCTTGGTATGAAACACCTGACAATGAGAATTTAAATAAGGAAGTAAACCCTTTCGGTAGCTTTCAGCATTAGCTGCACACACAGTCAGATATGTCGCTAATAGTTCCTGTAATTGATGTCCACAATGATAATTTTAAGGAGCTTTGGCCTGCGTTGATTGTTGCCATTAAAACGTCGTCCTTCGTTGCTCTCGACACGGTAAGTGCAAATGTGCTGCAGATAAATGACTTCCCACTACAACACGTGGTTCCGATTTGTGTGATTTTATTTATTAATCTAATATTTTTTTAAGTTTGCAACACACGCAGGAAGTGCAGAAAAGTAACAGCTGTTTGTGTTGCTGCAGGAGCTGAGTGGTCTGGGAAATAGAAAGTCTTTGCTGGCAGAGTGAGTWCAGACATCAGATAATCTCAGTTACATGCAGGTCTTTGTGCTGCTGTCCTGACACCTGCATGTCTGTTTCAGATCTATAGAGGACAGGTATAAAGCAATATGCCACGCTGCTCGCTCCCGCTCCATCCTCTCCTTGGGAGTTGCCTGTTACAAAAAGCTGGACCAAAAGGTACTACAAGTCAATACCCTTAGCAGGTATTAAGAGCATGCTGACATCTTTATTACTGGCATATGCAACCCCACGGTCACAGCACGTTATTCTTTTTCCTTCTGTTTATTTCTATGTGTCTGCAGCCTGCAGACACATACCGTGTCCAGGTGTATAACCTCACCCTGCTGTGTTCAGAGGAGTACATCATAGAGCCCCAGTCAGTCCAGTTCCTCGTGCATCACGGCTTTGACTTTAACAAACAGTACAGCCATGGTGTCCCTTACTGTAAGGGCAACAATAAGGTCATGAACGCTGCATGTTTTTGTTGAACCCTTTTAAGTTTTACTACACCTTGACTGTGCAGTTCATGCTCGGGCTTCTTCTGATTTTATTTAAGCTCAAAGTGTGTTTTCTTCTCCTTCTTGTTTGTAAGGCAGAAACAGATAACCGTGGCGTTCACATCCGAGCGTTGTTCACTGAACTGCTGCGTGCCAGAAAACCACTGGTGCTGCACAACGGCCTCATCGACATGGCCTTCCTATACCAGGTAAAGAATATTATTACAGTGGGGAAAACAAGTATTTAGTCAGTCACCAATTGTGCAAGTTCTCCCACTTAAAAAGATGAGAGAGGCCTGTAATTGACATCATAGGTAGCCCTCAACTATGAGAGACAAAATTTGAAAAAAATTTGAGAAAATCATTTTGCCTGATTTTTAAAGATTTTTTTTTTTTTTGCAAATAATGGTGG